GGTCCCTTCCAACCCTACCAACTATAAAACTAAGTTTGAGGGAAAAATAGCTCTGAAAATCCAGGTCTATGCCTTTCAAGTTTTTAAAATTAGTCAGTCATTCTCCTACTCTGTTTTTTTTCTGGAAAGATGAGAAGTTTGCCGGGGGTGGGGTGGAAATCCACAGAGTCAGGCTTTTTTCAACTCTTAATTGATTTCTCAAGTCTGAATGAACCAATCCAAGTTAATTTTTTCCCCTCTCTTTGCCTGTGCTAGGCAAGCTGAAACCAAAAATAATTAAAGGAAAAGCTTTTCTGCACAACAGAACCTGGAAGTACCAACATTGGAAAAGTGTAAATACCAGTATTTGCTCAACTGAGAAAATATTTAATGCAAGACATGGCATTGTGGCATTTAAAAAGCTTGAGTTGGCATTGATATAGCATATTTAAGAGATCACAGTAAATTAAAATCTTACTGGGTTGTAACTTTAAACAGGTTTATTTAACGAAATCCTTTTACCTACTCTGCTAATTAGAGAATGTAGAAATTATTCTGAAAAACAGTAATTCGTCTGGACATTTGTTGTTTCATGAATACTGGAAGCTGCATACAGCCAAATACAAACCAACTCATATGTCAAAACTATAAACTCAAATCAAGCTTTTCCTCTTCTCAATAAAGCACCATTATTGTTGCCATGAAACAGAAAACAAAAATGTTTGATAGATGTATTAAAAGAGTTTGTTTCCCAAACCTAGGTAAGCAAAATACTTCTTAACCAACATGCTCTTTGATAGGATTTTTCAGAAGTGGAAGGACAATATTGTCTAGGCACTTAAACACTGGTTAAAAAAAAAAGGACAAGATACACAGCTGTACAATGGTTTAATGTAACAGAGAATGTGGTATATAAAGTTACAACCTCCTCCCGCCCCCAGTGGAGGGGCAAGCAGAGGGGACAGTAAAAGTACATCAGTGCAATTGCTGTGCCTGCTGTCATCTTGGGTTAGACATTTGCCCCAAAATAGGCTTTTATCTGTTCTCCCACTACTTAGCAGCAAGGTACTGTAATAATACCTACTGTGATAGCACTCAGGACAGCTAGTCAAAGCTAAATGAACACACTCAGGGCAAAACTGAAACTTACACTCATGAATCGGGAGCAAAAATCCAATGAAAGTAAAGTGATTTGGCTGCATAATGTTCATAACACACAAGCGTGAAAACTTGTTTCTTGCTGCGTTTGGTATATTTGCCAATTTTCTCACTGGAGAGCTTCTGGATGGAAACCTTCAAAGTACCAAAGAGAGTTAGACACCAAAATGCTCTTGAAGGTTGCACACAGCTGATTCTGCATCAGTGAACCAACCCTTTTTTAACCCAAGAAAACTTCCAGTATATTTGAATGATTCAGCATTTATTGAACAAGTTTAAAAATAAAACTGATGTTCTCCCACACACACCCCCCTTTTCAAAAAGAAAGTGAAATAAATGCCCAACATAAGTCTGAAACAGACTGCTACAGAGACCTCATCAACTGCTTATTTTGGCAAAGGATCCACCATTTTCACATTCACATTTCAATACCAGAATGTAAAAAAATTGTGTTACACTCATGTTTAAGAGTTATGCACTTCTGAAAGGTGCTACAAAATATTTTTGTATTTTGTTCATTTGTGGGTTGAATCCTTCTAAAAAAATATTATAGTGACAAAAGTCAACTCCCATGTAAAAGCAGGATCTCGTGCATTTATTTGGAAAATGAATGAGAAGGTACTCAGTCAACAGCAAGAAATATCAAAAGCTTTACTGCATTTTAACCAGGATTACTATTCATGTGTTTGGTCTTCACAGGCTTTATTTTGACACAGAACATTTTCAGGTCAATCCTCTTCTAATATTTAGAAGCTTAAGGCCTCCTTCAGCACCAAATAACAAGGTGTTTCATGGATGAGACATGGGATGATAAAAATGCCACTGACTAAATTGTTGAAAATAAAATATGGAGTACCTGGATAAAGTTTCTTTACTTTTTGTTGCTGCGGTTGGATCTAATTTTTATAATGACAGACTGAGACAAAAGCTTACTCAAGTCATCAGTTCTTTAGAGATTGAAACAAGTGCCCAACTCTCCTAAAAATGGGACATTTTCAGTAGAAGTAGTAAGGTTAACTAGAAAAAAAGCTGAACAATTACATATCAGAATTTACTGAAGTTCAAAGGCAGATATGGGGAATGGGGAGGGGGTGGGTTTAAAAGAAACACTAACATAAAAAGTAAGGGCAGCTAATGAAGACATGGGAACTCTCAGGAGTAAAAATACTCAGAAGGGCTGTATTAGCTAATACTCTTATTCTTCCTGCAAGCATTCAACAGTTTCATGCACCAAAATATAAACACACAAGAGCATAATGAAGACTCAAAAATTAGAATGTGAAAAACAGGCAGGCAAGGTGCCTTGGGTAGATGTAGTATCTTGTATTAGACCAGCTGAGTTGGAAAAAAAGTTCTTTGCAAGCTTTCAGGCACAATCATCCTTCTTCAGGCATAGGGAGTCTCTGCTGTTCTGAGATCTCCAAGGAATGAAAGAAGCTAAAAGTGTGACAGGATGTCAGTGAGAATGTAAATAGGTGGAAATTTGGAAAACAAAAAGGTAGAGAAGGGAAGGGTGGAGGGGGGGAGGGAAATGAGAGGGAAATAGTGCCAAAGGGTAAGTAAGGGAGACTCTACTGTAGTTGAGTTCTACAAGGTAGAAAAGAGGCAGTCTGTGAAAAAGTAAATAGCTGAATATTAGGAAGACAAAAGGGTAGAAAAAGAGGGGAGGGGAGGAAGGGGAGGAAAAAGTGTAAATGTTAAGGTCAGGCAGGTACCTGGTGAATCAGATGTCAGGTCATTCAGTTGGTCTAATAAAAGATAACACATCTGCCCAAAGAGCCTTGCCAGCCTATGTCCTTAGACCAACATGGCTACAACCAAAAACCCTAGAATGTGAAAATGGAATTTGAGGTTAAGACCAGGTTCTTCTTACCCGTTTTCCTTTAATCTGCAACACTGAGATTAACTAGGATTGGCACTTATGAGCTACAAGGAGCCTCCCACCATTCAGCTCTTGTTCTTGTTCAATAGCACACATTTACTAAGTTTATTTCCTTCCCATCGTGATCATTTATGAAACATTAATACTTATCTTCTCTAACTACATACTTCAGTGCCAAGCTGCCTCCTCAGTTCAGTCACAACCGCACAGAGTATCATTCGTCACCAAACAAAAGAGAACTTTTTCCAAAATTACATTAACATAAAGCGTAGGACAGATTACAGGACATTTAACAGGTTATGTTAGACCATTTGACTTTCACCTCTAGAAAAAAATTGTTCCAATTCTGATTAGACAAGAAACTGGAAGTAGCTATTTCCCCAGAGATGGGGCAGGGGTACAAAGGCAGGCCATTACCACAGCTGCTGTTTCAAACAAGGTCTAGAGCTGAAACAGTAGGGGAAGGTACCGATTAAGATTTAGGTGCAATGACAAAGCATTGTAATGAAGCTTAACATGCATACATCCATACCATATCCATCTCCTAACTGGTTGTGCCTCTTCCATGCATTGCCAAGACTCACCCCAAAATGATTAGTAAAGTTATAGACGGGGAGGCGACCTGCTGACAATGGGCTGGCAGGAGACCTGCTTAGCATTGACACCAGTATTCCAACTACCTCCCTCAAAGACATGTAAACACTAAATGATTTGGTTAAGAAGAAAGTCTTCTTATTCCCTTAGCTCTTTAAGAACCACAATGTTTGTTTCAAGGCTCAATGACAAATCTCATTTGCTATATCTCAGTAGAGAAGTGAGCTGCATCACAACAGAAAGTTGAAAGTATGCTATTAGCATGAGTAATTTCTACCTGTGATACTGCAGTTGCAGCAAATATAGCACATCTTCAAGAGGTGGGAAACTGACCTCCTTCCTTCCCTCCCACACAAAGGCTGCAGATGTGTCAAAGACTCCAAATAATATAAATACGTACGATGTCACAGCTGCAGTCAGAATACCAGAAGCTCAGCTCCTAGATTCTACAATGGACCCATGTGTGAGGATACAGATTCATTATTGGGACTTGCCTGCCACCCAACTGCAGTGAGCAAAAAAATGGAACTGGTAGTTTAAAATATGTTATTTTATCCTGGTACAAATGAACACAAGACTGAGCTCCAACAAAACAAAACAACACAACTTCCCCCCCGCAGGCCCACCCCCCCCCCAAAAAAATCAGCGAACAAGCAAGAACACCCTGAAGGTGGCAGATACTGAAAAGAATAAACTATAACTCTTCAGTTTTTTGGTGCAAATCAAAATTTGCTCATAGATAAGGAAGACATGTAACAAGGTTTCCTATTTTGCATGTTCATGCAGTTGCATCTGCTCATGGTATTAGTGTCCTCTGGCCATGACTGGGAACAAGGTATAAAATAGATGCCAAAATCCACAGAGGTTTAAATACCACCAAAAGTAGTTTATGACCACTACCAGTTTAATATTAGAGAGCTTGCAGAACTGTTGGAGCCACTGCTATAAAGGTGCATCTTTATCTTCTAGAATTAATATCCTTGAGATGGAAATGTTTTGTATGACTTTTAGCAGTTTAAATTGTACTTATATTAATAATGTAATACAAAATCTACACGCCAAAAGTTATAATATTAATATGAAACCTAATTTCCACAAAACACAATACAAAACACTTCCCTTTTGCATGTCAACACTGCTTTTCATTGCCAGGTCTCTTCTGAGGGCATAAAAGCTCTAACAACATAAGTTACCCATCATCTAATCCAGTATGACTCATTCAACTTGGGTCATCAATATGAAGAACTTAATCATACTTTTCAGTGCTACACAGTAATCAGACAGTCTCACATTCTAGTTCGTAGTTCAGTTAATTAATCCTTTGGCTCATACTCACCCACCTACTTCAGGTAATCTAGGCTAGTAGTCAAGACACACTCTTTGCTTGTTCCATGAAAGGTTTTTAATGGGAAGAGAAAGGAAGCTTTGGACTATATGAGATTGTTTAAGCATATTAAAAAGTCCACTAGAATTGCAGCATGTTAAAAGTTTCTAGAATGCTTTTCACACTTTCCTTAAAAAAATCCTCATTGTGCCTCATTGCATGGACAAATCTTTCACTGGCTCAGCCCACAGAATTAATGTCATATACCAGATGTTGTTACAGAAGTGCAGCTGAAAGCTTGCAGGATCACTCATTTGCTCAGCATCCTGAGTTTTAGGAAAATAAAGAGCTAGTTTGACAAAAAGCAGCTGTTCCCCCCACCCCACCCCGCCCCTGCCATTTCCCCTGTCCCCACAATGGTCTTGATCCAAATATAAGTTATGGTGTTTTCAATGTACATATTCATTTCGTGGGGCAGAGATGTGAAAATGAGAAAATATAATGCAGGGTCTTCTTAAAGAGTCTCCCAAAAACAAAGAAAACCTTCAAGAAGTTTTATGGCAAAGTCCAGAAGTAGTCCAGGGCAGTGCTTGGGTGTCACTAGAGATTTAAGGACTATTGGGAACAATGTGGCCAGCCACAAACTGTCTCACAAAAGGCCATAAAAGCATACTCTGTTGCCAAGGTTGAGTGGACAGACTGAGATATTCCCTGTAAGAGGTTCGTTTCTTTCTTTTAAAAAAGAATCAAGAAAGAGCACAGACAGTCATGCAGCTGAACGCCGACGGATCACAAAAACCCCTCGCTGAAGCTGTCCCAGATAAATCCTCATTTTTGTGCTGTCACTGGTTTTCCTCACCCAGATCTGCACAAAAGAGATAAAAGGGAAAGACCCCAAGATTAGTCATATGAAGAAAAATGTTTCAGGGATCCTTAATATCAGCCTAAAAACAGATCTTTCTATTCCTCCTGGGAAAATGGAAAACATGGTTTTAAAGAAAACCACACACACCACCTTGCTGTAAGAGGAAATAATCTATCCTAACACCAGCTTTTTCTCATCTACTTTCTGACCTCAATAACTAACAAGAAGAATTACTCTTCTTTAGCATCATCAGGAATGCAGAGGTCTCTTTCATGACCATTCACAACAGGAAGCTTGATTAGCTAAAGCTGAATGCAAGAATAAGTCTCCCTAGACGCACAGATCATAAAATTACCTGTCCTGGGATTTGTTCAGACAAGTAACTATTAGTCAAATGAAAAGCTTGCTCTGATTTTGTTCAGTGAAGCATTTCCCACAATGCATTAAATAAATTGTATTTGAAGATTAAAAAAAAGTGTTTGCTTTTTAAATACCTGCACTGAAAAATTCTTACTACTGCAGATATACAAATATATTTAAAATGACAAATTGCTTCAATAGAAATAACCATTCAGAATACCTTTTTAAAAAGTTAAATCAAAAACACTGTCAAGTTTAGATTCCAAATACCACAGACCTTTACAACTGACTGAGAAAAAGGTTTTCTGTTTTTTTAATGTTGAAGATATGTACACTGGCAAGAGAACTTGCATTTTTTAAATGCCAGTGTAACCCTATAATTTAGAACTTTATGATCCTTAATGTTAATTGTAATAACGCTAATCAAATTAGCCATTTCAGGATTTTTAATAATGCATCCGTTGGCAAATTGCTACAACTCATTTAAATAATCAGCCAGTGAACCTAATGATTGTTCCATAATTATTCTTGTTATCGTAACAAAAAGAATTTCCATTTGTGATTTGTTTTGTTAAAAGGAAAAAAAAAATATTACCAATGTCGATACACATTAGAGGTATTGTTTTGGTTGATTAAGTTTATTGAAATCAAGAAACCCTACACCAACTCTCTAATTTCTTAAAAAGGGTAGTAATTCACAATGCCACATATGAACTTTCTTTGCACAATTCTGACATATTTCTCATATGCCAAGTCTGTGTTAGATGTTAATTCATATCACTCCTAGCTGCCTATCCCTTTTAGATTAAGTCAGCAGTGTCGGGACCTATGATAGGTACTTTTAGGTTAATAGCTAGGGAAAAAATAGTCTTCCTACATGTAAATTTGGTGACCAGATTTCAATTAATATGCCTCTGACGCCTCAGTGGCATCTGGCTTTTTGGGGGGTTGTTTTCTTTTTGTTTGATATTAAATGTAAATAAATATTTCCAGTAAGTTTAGAGTTTAAGTACCGTATGAATAGAGATTTTAAATCCATCACCAGACAGGTGCAATTCAAATGGCCTTCATGCTTCCTAACCAATTCCACAATTTGGGCATGGTAGGATCACCATAGCCATGGGTAAAAAATATTAAGCTTCCCACCACATTAGCCTTCTGCCTTTCTTGAATGCAGACTACCATTTGCTTAATGATGTTGTGAGACAGATTCTTATCTACCAAAGACTAACCCATAACCATCAACATCTGTTTGATTTCAGGCACTAAATCAAATTTGAGTCCTGCTGCCAAAAGCAAGCTGCAGCTTTATAGAATAGGGTCACCTCAAGAATTCAAGCAATTAGATTCTCACTCTGCAGTCCCACTTCTTGAGGGAAGTGGTCAATGCAAGTAATGAGAAGAAATCAGCAGAAGACAAGAGGATAACATACTGCAGTTTTACTAGGCTGACTGAATACCAAAAGCATTGGCGAGCAAAACTGAAGGGCAATAATCTGTCAAAACACATGGAAATGCTGCAAATTCAAATGAAATCCAACCATAAAAATTTACAGTTTTAAAACCTGCTAATAACACAGATTGCTGCCAGTGATGTTCTTTCTCATAAAGACTGTGGAGCAAATAGTTGTTCAATTACACTTCAGATTTTTTGCTAATTCCACACAACCATACCTTCCCACAAAGAAGAAGGTTGCTATCCCAACAGGCAATCTGAATCATGAGTACAGATGTCTTTTTAAACCCTACCAGACAGTTAGCTGCACTAATCCATGGAACTGTTTTATTGTTACTAAAAGTAAAACAGCCTCTTACCTCATTGGCTCCCACAGAGCTGATCACACAGCTGATCTTAGTGTTCTCTTTCGACTCTAGGTAAATAGCCTGACTCTTGTGATACCTGCAAAAAAGCAATGGGTACAACCATTAGCCACTGCTGAGGTCTCATCTTCTGCTTGTGAAGGCTCATAAAACAAGGAGTAGCTTGATTTATGAATCAGGTTTTATAAGCATAAGAAAATAAGAGCATAAAAGATTTCCTCTTTCCTTAGCAAATGCTCATCACAACATAGGTATAGGCTACACTACCCTTTCCCCTTCAACTCCGGAGGCAACCATAACATATACTACTAGTAGCAGCTCATCTCATCCCACCCTTCTAGCAAATTAGGGGAACTGGTAAACTGCAGCATATTTAAAATGTTACTTAAATAAAATTATATAATACATTTATAATAAAATTATATATAATCAACATAACAGTATACAACATTCACTCACAGAAGTAGACAGCCATGTTAGTCTGGAGTCAGGCAGAAGACAGGGTAGAAATGCACCTTATAGACCAACTAAATCAGAAGTATGTAGCATAAACTTCCCTTAACAGTTGCAGGGCATTAACACTAAGGCTGATCTAAAGGGATCTGAAGGAAACAAGCAAATAGTCCAAACTATATAATCTTTTAGGAAGTTAGAGAAAAAACTAGATAAACTATTTTTAAAAAACAACTTATGTTATTAACACAAAGAAATAAGAAATTGCATTTCTTCAGGCATACAACTGGTTCCTGGCACAGACAACGAAGCACTGAAACAAGTTTCAAGCCATGCCCCGGCCCCCCGCTCTTATTTTTTTAACCAAGGTGCAGCTTTCCAGGTAACTGCTGGTCCTCTCGCAGCATCCTACCCCCAGCTAATCTCCTCCTCTACCAGCTTCCTACAAGACTTCAGTACCCAAGCCCCAACACTCAGCTGAACTTTTCCTACAGCACAGTTTCACCAGGGACCCAAATACGGTTGAGCAGATGGTGGCTCAATGGCCCTATTCTGGCAATGTCAGGAAATACTTGAATCGTGAATTACCAACAGGAGCTGCAGCATCACTGTAGCCACCTTGTCCGTGGAATCAAGGCTCCAAACTGCCTCACTAGGGACATAGCCCGAGACTTACTATTGGCAAGAGATACACTTGGATTACTAGAACTTTTGGTGCTAAGTGAGCTACTTTAAAACAGCAAGGAGGAATGTACACATACAATGTTTTAATACTTCACTTCTCAATTCCTAGATTTTCTTAATACCCAAACCTGTCAATTAGAGTCTGTATTAGGAAGAAGGCAAGCCATCAGTTCATAGGTACGCTGTAATGAAGCCTGCCCAGGTTTTCTCGCTTATATAGCATACTAGGTAAAATATGGTCTTATTTATGTCTACGGCATTAATTACCCAAAGGGGAAAAATGTTAAAAAGCTCCCCAATTCATACAGCTTTCACAAGCTTAGTTTCAAAGTCCCAGATTTAGCTTTCTGCATGGAAGGCCCCTGTTACACATTACGTATATTACACAATTAACTAGTTAAATGTGCAATGAATTTAGACTGGCCACATGTGCAAAGACAGACAGGCCACAAGCACAAAGTAATTATCACACAACTAACTGGTTAATTGTGCAATAAATTTAGACTAGCCATGTGAGGAAAGTAATCATCGCACAATAAAAATTACTATCCAGCTATAAAAGAGCCAACTAACTATAAAGTTAGTGCTGGAAAATGTATAACAACTCTATAGCTGATTTCTTTAATATGAATGTATAGTGGGGTCTGAATACACACTTATTAATAAAGCATGCCAGCAAAGCTCTTTGGTCTCTGTGATTTTGCCCAAGAGAATTCTGTAAGCAGAAGTCACACAATAAATTATCTGTTTCAGTGTAATTGGGGAACAATCTTAGAGTAGAGAGACAGATGCTCTACAGTTCGAGAAGGGTAAAATTTCCACCTCTGCTCTTATTATATCACCTTAGGAAATACTTGGCTCTCACATAATTTCTGGAGCCATTATGGCTTAATTTCTGGACCATCACTCTCACACATTTTGGTACACATGATGCTTAGCTTAGACAGATAAATTGCAGAATTCACCCAGTACTTGCTCAGTATGCATCTCCTCACACTCTGATTGGCTAACTGCCATTTCTTATTATGCAAATCCTTATATTATTGTTATGGTTATTTCCACAATAACCACAGTGTAGACATGGAAATCCCTAGCAACTGAATCTATTCTGTTCTATTTTGCTTGGTTCCCATACTCCGAATTGATAGGCTGCTTCCCAGTAACAAAGATAATAGGCTCGGTTTCACTCCCTTTAGCTGCAGCAAAAATATTCTACCACACTAAACTCCAAATAAAACAAAAAAAAACCCCGCACCAAAAAACCTGGGTTAAAAAAGGGCACAGGCAAGGGATTATGATGATAATGAGTTTCATGATGAACTTCTTCCGGTGGAAACTTCAGCAAGTTCCCAGGAAGCTTACTAGTAACCACAGTTTGGGCCAAGAGCTGTTTATTCAGTTAAAACTTAATTTCTGTCACTCCAGCTGGAGAAGCTCATTTGCCGCCTGGGAGTGGGGCTCAATGTCCTTCAGCCCAAATTCAATCATCTGTGTTGGCTAATGCCATTGCTAGCCACCTTCTAAAAGTGGCAAGAGCCCCCTGTAACAACAAGGATTTTGAGCAAAGAGTATGTGAAGAATGGTATAATTTCCATCAAAATGTTTAAAACCAATATCCTCCAGAAACCTTTTTACCAACAGAACTCGACTGTGCTTTGCAAAATTAAAATCTGGCACTGCAACTGGCTATGACAACATGCACCCAGAGTTTCTGAAACATCTCAGCCCTTGAGCTTGTAATTGGCTTCTACTCTTCTTCAAACATATCATGCATAAAGGATGAATTCCATCAGCATGGTGCCAAGCAAAAACCACTGGCCTACCCAATCCTGGCAAAGACCCACAACCAGCAGCAAGCTACCAAGCTATCTTCCTCCTGTGTGTCCAATACATGACACTTGAGAGACTAGTTCTGCAACATTTTTCCAGTAATTGATTCTGCCCTAAACCCAGACCAGGCTGGATTCTGCCGCAGCTAGAGTGCTTGCAATCAAGTTTTAGCCTTAACCACTTTAACTGAAAATGGCTTTCAGAAAAAACAGAAGACTGGTGTCATCTTTCTTGATTTAACAGCAGCATATGACACTGCCTGGCATACTGGTTGTCACTGTACCAGGCAACTCAGCTCCCAGAACTCCTGGGAGTGAGAGGTTTCCCACCCTGACTAGCCCCAAGCAAAGGGGGAGCTCAGCTCAGCAGGGGCTGAGAAAATACTCACCTCCCTTCCAGTTGCCTGGGGCAAGAATGCCAAGATGCATGTGGCATCTCCTGCATGTTTTAAAAACACACTCTCCCTGTGTGTGGGAGGGCGGGTGTGCTTCTGCTGATGTCATAAGAAGGTGTGCGGGGCACCAGCAAGCCCCGGACACTGGCACATCCGGTTGTCCCAGCTGCAGGGAGCATCCCTGTGACACTGGAGGAAGCCGGCACAGGCAGGCAGGCAGGCAGAGGAAGAAGCCTGCACAGGCAGGCACGTAGCAAGGCAGCCGCACAAGCTGGCATTACACTGGAGGGGCTGGCATAGTCAGCAACAAGGGAGTGCGAGGGGCATTGCCCTGTTGGAGAGTTGACAATTAAGCCCCTGAGGGCAACAGGTGGGAACTGCTGCTGGAGAGAACCCACCACCGGATGTCAGGTGCACCTATAAACTTATAAAACACATCTCCAGAAAACTGCTTTAAAAAACAAAACAAAACAAGAAATAACCTACTTGCCTAACTTGCAGGCTCCACTTGGGATGCCAATGCCTCCATGCTATGTTCATCTCCTCTTGCACAGTGTTATTCAGTTGCAGACTACTAAGCCCCTGTATGGGCTCCCAGCTGCACGTTACAATGAGTCTTGTGTCACGCAAATTACATCCCACTCCACTCCTAATGTTACCAGTCCTCAGTAACATTGCTCCCCCCATCTCTGCCACACAAATACTGAAGTAAACTTACTAGCCAAACTTTGTAATTATCCTATGCCCAGTGGGACATATTCCACCCACCAATAGCTCGGCTGCCCTCAAGATGTCCAATATGGTCCACCCTTGCAAAACTCTTTGACTTTTCCTTACTTACTCGATGACACAAAGAATGGTCAACCACAAACCCCAAACAATTACCACAACATCTCTAACGCTACAGTGAGTTAACCAGGATTTAACTGACCACACCACTATTGGGCATTTCTGTACCATTTTTTAACTGGACAGGGTGACTGTACCTCAACCCTATACCAATGGGGCCTTTGCAATAACAACCTTTGTGGACAAATTTAAATCATGTCCCCCATTGTTGACTCATGTCCATTTACTATGCTACCTGGTGGCTGTCAAGCTCATCACACTGGTCATGACATTACCTTAAGAAATAATATGCTGAATAATATGGCTGGGGGGGGATATTGCCGGGGGGCTCTTGACCCCCCACCCGGCATCTGGCGGGGGTCATCTGACCCCAGTCCTCTTTCCTGCCTAGGCAGGGGGTCGGCCTCGATGATCTGTTGAGGTCCCTTCCGACCCTAGCATCTATGAATCTATGAAAGCGCAAAAGCTAAATAAATAAAATTCAGTTATGATGGCCGTTAATAGACAAGGAACATCTCAAGGTAATCAAAACCCTCATTATCGTAACCCAGGCCTCTCTGTATGAAAAACCTACTGGACTGCCAATGAACAGAAAGCATTAGAGTTCACCTGAATGGAAAAAAATGGTGATTTTTGTACAATTATTAAATGCACAGTTTCCTATCACACAAAAACCCCAAACCAACTGTCCCTTTCTGACAAGGTCAGTGGCAGGGATGGAGAACACACTACCTTTTTACCACTTAAGACCACCTTGCTCAGACCCCATACATAGTGGTACATAGAAAAGCCTGATCTACAGACAGCAGGGACTCATTAACAGAAGTGGGCTGGTCAGGGAAGCAGGGGCTACCATGTCAATTAGGTTGATAAACATGGCTTTATCTCTGCAGCTATTCAATATCTTTAAGAAAAAAGGAGAAGAATGGACTAAGCCAAAATTGCCAGGGAATGCAAGCTAGCTTATAGAAAAAAAAGAGGGGGGAAAAGAAAACCTCTAAAAAGCAGAACTCATCACGTTTTGCTCTTTTTTCAGTTTTTTTTTAACCAAATGAAAAAACAAAGAAGCAGACACTCAAAAGTAGTAGAAACCTTACTTTCTACTAACATATTGGACCCAAACACTGGCAAAATCCTCACTGAAAAGACTTCTTCACAAAAATCACTGGACTGTAGTACAAGCAACAAGCAGAGCACAAACCAAACCTAACGGAGAAGCATGCTGAAGGCAAGAGTGGTCACAAATAGAAGCTTCTCAAAAATGGAATTCTCTCTAGCTTGCCATATTACAAGCTCCTAAAAGTTAAAAGGTTTCACTGCAAGCAGTGTTTTAGGAGGAGGGGACAAAATGGCTGAGGTAAAATTATTTAAGTTATTCAATGCCCAGCTGCGATTCCTGCGACTAATTCTCCATTTTGTGAAATAAGTTTGCCAAATGCTGCTACAAGACCTCAGGGAGTCCATTTCTAGCCTTAAACATTCACTATTTTGAGATAATTGTCCTTTATGTCTGCTGTCAGGGGGAAGAAAAAGTAGTCACTTCTGAGCTGTCAGGTTTCATTATTTTTGGTGCATGCTAGCAGCTTCAGGTTTAATATGCATTTAAAAAAAAAAAAGATTACCCTCCCACCACCAAGAGTTACTTTGTTATTTTAAAATATCAGCTACTTTGCAGAGGCACTATTACTATCAATCAAAACCTGAACAGGATTATTACAGCAAAATGTAAAATAAAACACTTATCTTAAAACAGCACAGGACCCAGGAGAAGGGGAGGGGAAGAAGGTAACAACCAGAAACCTTCACAATGAAACCCCATGACAAAAGAATGCAGTAAGATGAAAATATTTGTGCTAACATGCCACATGTCCATGATTTAGGAAGTCCTCTCATGCTTTTGTGAAACTCCCCTGGGGTCAGTCATATACACCTTACTTTAAATTTGGTGGGAGTTTCCTGACTGAGAAGTGCAGAACTGAGCTCCTTGCTCTGAAAAATGATGTTACAGAAAGATGTTGTAATTGTGTTATAGTTCATGGATCCTTAAAAGTTCTGAGGTGTGAGTGACTAGAATCAACATACCCTAGTTTCAGAAACAGGGTGAAAGGGATAGTAGTTTTAAATAAAACAAAAGGCAAAAAAACAGCAAAAACACCCTAACAATTAAGAGCAGAAATAACTTAATTTAGTTTTGCAAATTCAAATTATTTTTTTTATATTGTTTACAACATAAAAACAGAATCCTTTAACAAAGATACATACCCTAAGATTCTGTGAAATAGTGTCAGGGAATTGGCAAAAATAAACTTAAGAAGTCTGTAAAACAACTGCTGTGCTAAATCAGGTACTTCCATTATAATCTCCCACCTAACAGCTGGAAAGAACAGGCCAGAAGTCTGACAGGAAAATGAACTGCATCTAGTGTGTCCAATTTTAGTGCAACTCATTTCATACCGTTCTTTCAGTGAGGTGGTTGAAATAGCTCGGAAAACCAAGAAAAGCTATCAACATATCAAACTATTCCCCAAACAATTAAATAGCCTTGCAAATTGCTTGCTATTTAAAAAGTAGATTGCTTCCTTGATTACTCACACTTGCATGTTTTATAATTTCATAGGATTAGGTTTAAGACTCATGGAGCTACCATCTTTGCAAAAAAACAAATAACCTCCTGATGTATCATGATGCTTCCCTAGCTACACACTCCTATAAAAATTAGAGATAAATCAGATCATTATTTCTGAAGCTGGGTCTTATGTGTGGGTTTGATCTGTAAAGGTTATTTGCCTTTTGTTATTGCAAACATTTTTCATTCAACTTTGCTGGCAAGTAATTTTATCACACTCTGCCACCTTGTGGCACACATACCATAAAACTCAAACACAAGAAACTGCTGTAACCCAGCTGGTTACATTACTACATTTGGATAACACTGAATTTCTCGGTGGTTAACTTTCCTAATAGTAGGGTTGGATGTTGTTAATGTTAGTTTCAACAGAAATGCTTGAGTAGTGTTGTAGTACATAACAGAGACCCAGAGATAAGCTTTATACACTACCTATAAGCATCCTTCCGCATGTCAATGTGTGCTAGCAAACATAGTCAAAGATGTATATAGAAAGCACATGCTTAGGTTGCTCAAGTGGCTAGAACCTGCTTAGGAAAATCTTGGACCAAGATGCTTTTTCCAAAGCAGGTTCTTTGCACTACTTTTGTCTCTACATAGTGACACCCTGGACTAACAGCAACAGCAAGGACTTCCCTAAGACCTACCATCTTTTATCATAGTAGAGTTTGCCATCTTCTATGCGGGCTTCAAACCGCTGTGCTGGAGATTCTGCAGGTGTAGCTGGCAGGTGCTCTGGAGAGGAAGGAGATGCTAAAACAGAAAAAAGACACAAAAAAACCCAACCATATTGCATGTTCAGACTAGCATGAGAACACTAATGGGTCTGTGATTATGCAGTCAAACCTGAGCTTCAAATATGTTAATACAAATTCACTAATTCAAGGAATGCAATATAAGCACAGGGAACTAGGGACTTAAATGTGTATTTCTGATCCGACATTTTCTCTTTGGCCAAGTCATTTAAAATAACTCTTTCCTAGGCCACAAGGTGGGGGTAATATCTATTTTCAAAAGAGCTGCTACTAGGTTAGTTTGCAAAGAATTTTGAAGGGTAGAAGCATTATTGTTTGACCATGTGATCTTGGAATGAGCTTTTCCTATCTGATCTATTATGTAATTGAATGCATGAAAGAAAGACAAAATAAAGCCAGATAGTACACAACCAGACTACAGTAACTGTGCGCAGAAATAACTTGACTCATCTTCAGCCAAACTATGAAACACAAAGATCAAAAGCCAGCCTCCGAAATAGAGTGGGGTTTAGGCATCCTACCTATGTATGTAATGAAAGAGACTTTACCATCAAATTGCTTTTGTATGTTCTCATCTACACATTTAACAGACATCTGCACGATATGATTACACCCAAAACAGGAGAAAGAAGGGACAAGACAGCACTTAAAAGAAGTAAAGTTGCAGCATTCACTCGAACAGATAGCTACTTAAAGAGAGACTGAAAGCTCCAGTTAAAAGACTGTACTTGTTGCAAAATTTTAGCAAATGTCACAAATGTATGCTAACAGGGGCATAAATACTACTATAATCATTCACTTACCTGGTCTCTTGGGTGATTTAAGCTACATAAAAAGAAGAACAAGGCACTTTTAGAAACTGGAGATACAACTTGTATCACAAAAGCACTAATGTGAAAAAGTAAATGAGACATAAGCACATCAAGGGAGAACATTACTTCAATGCCATATTACTTTCTATTTTTTTTTCAGGTTATAAGTATTCAGAGCATAAGACTTAACAGTATACAAGACTCAAAGATCTAAATCATCAGAATCATGACACTAAAAACCTGGGAAATTAAGTTCTGCAGCTTCCTCTTGTCAAATAATTGACTCTTCAACTGCCCAGAAAACCAAGCCCCACCATTCTTTCAGTGTGTTCAAACCTAACTGGTGGTGAGCAATTAATATTTAAAATCATTAAACTATCCTCACTGGTGAGAGAACTGAAAGCACACTTCAATCACTTTACACAGGTTTCCACAAGCCTCTTTCAGAATCCTGTATCTGGAATTGCCTGGAAATTTGTTCATCTAATCAAGTCCATCTAGAAAAGCTAAATCTGTTATATACAAAAGAATACACCTTTCTGGCTTTTAGAGAAATGTGCATAGAATAACAAACTAACAGCCAAGATAAAGATGCAAATCTACAAGACTTGTATGCTGTCATCCCTACTTTATGGTTCAAAAGTGTGGACTACATATGCTAGGCACATCAAGAGACTGAACAGCTTTCACATAAGGTATCTGCTTAAGATCCTGAAAATAAAGTGGGAAGAAATAATACCAAACACAGATATTGGACCACACTGGACTGACACACTTAGAAATCACTATCAAAAAGAAGAGATTGTGATGGATTGTTTACGTCAAGAAAATGGGAGGAGACCATATCCCCAAGAATATTTTGTAGAGCAAGATTCAAGACCGCTCTAAAAAGTGGTTCTGTCATAGAAAGTGGCCCCATGATGTGTGCAAAAATTATATGAAGTCATTCAACATCAGCGTAGAAAGCTGGGAGAAGAGCACAGAATCCCATCCAAACTGGAGAGAACATCTGGCACTAGATCAAAGCTGCTTCATGTTGAGCTTCATCCAGAGAATCGAAGCAAAGTGAGAAAGAAGAAAGCAGAATGCTATAAACTTAGACTCCAACTCAGACAACGTATGGATCTGTGAAACTTGTAATAAAGCTGTGTCGCTCATGAATTGGGCTTGCCAGCCACAAACTGATTCATCAGGCACCTGACTAGACCTCTTAGGTGTAACACCATGATCCAGACAATTGCTTACTACACCTTAATGCATCCATCCTGCCCCCTGTAAGCATTATGTAGAGTGAAATAGGGAAACCCAAGGTGTCTTGATTTTAAGCCCTGTGATGTAATGTAAGCATGCATCAGTGTCTATGCAGTCAGATGAAGGGCAAAGTCATTCAGATGCCTACTATTTGTTCTTATCAGAGTGGGCACTTAAAGAAAGTTTGTTAGAGACTATTACCATTTTTCATAGGTTCATTCTAACCTGTTAAAAGGAAAGGAAAGAACCAGAGTCTTGATACATCTCTAATCATGTTATTCCACTGTTTAACATGAGAAAGCCTACTTAAGAATGACGCAAAAAGAGTGGAATTAGACTCCAATTCTTTCAGTGAAGAATTTTACGTTTACCTAGATGAAGCCACTTCCTACCTTATTCAGCGTTCTGAGGTCCTCCATTATTTGTTCATCTGTTAACAGATAATTTAACTGGGGTAACCAGAATTAAGGTTCACATAAACAAGGTATTTTGGACTAGCAAAGGCAGAAGCCAAACAACCCAATGGCATCTCATTACAGCAGAACATGAATGGATAAAATGTCACAAGAATATCACCTAAAGCTATAGAATTCAAACCACCAAGGCCTGTCACTGCTGGATACAAACACATACACTAAACCCATCTTAACCATTTCCACTATCAAAAATACTTTAGACAAAGACATTTACTTTCTCCGAATACAACAATTACTAATATGATCAGTCTTTTTCTCTTGCATTGTAACAGGGGAATACCTGCTGGCACATGAGCTGCAAGATACCGTCAGCCTTTTACAACCCACATCTTGGGTACAAGCAGAGAAGAGAAAGAAAAAAATCATTACATCTTAGGACAAAACAAAATATCATCTGAATAACAATTAAAGAAGTATCATCTACTGGAAATATAGTCAGGATTCTTGTTGTTTATTAAAAACACCCACTTTAGAGTTCCAATGGAAATTTCTGCAGTATAACAATCACATTTTCCTTTAACTCTTTCCTAGCGTCTTGATGTTTGAGTACTTGACCCAACAGCAAAAATAAACTGTTGTAGCCCAAAGAGATTTTTTTTTTTTCCAGCTGAAGCCTTAGGTTTTACTTCTAAAGCTAAAAAGTAAAAGTATTCAGACAGACTTGTTATTTTTTAAGCAACTGCACTTTAAAAGGCATGTGCTTAAAGGGTGACAACACTTTGAAGATCCTGGCTCTGACAGGATCTTTGTTATACTCTGCTTCTTATAGTACTGATGAAACAATCAAGCAAGGGACTCTTGACTCTTTTACATATATTAAGCTTTTCCCTGCTGAAGAATTCAGATAGACAGGCAAAGTTTAACTTAGAAAAGACAGTTTTATGAGCCAATTTCTGCAGCAGTTGAGAACTTGTGCTAGATATTACTGAGTGATGGCAAATAAGAGATCCCATTTAACAATTTTTTTACAGGAAAGTTCTACAGGACCAGTCAGTTTAAAATAAGGCTGGAGATTCCTTCTATCATAGTGAACTAGGCTCAGACATTCAGTGCACAGTTGGCCAGCGACAATATATAAAGATTATAAATCAATCCCCAAAGATACAAGATAGACTCAATAGGTTAAAATAGTAGAACTGGAGTTTTGCTCTCTGGAAAACAAACATCCCTGGCCTTCCCTTCCAGTTGATTTAAATATGCAAGTAAGTGGTCATGGCTGCAAGGGAGCTATGCAAGTATTTCCATAGATTACAGTACCTGCAGAATAAAAGGCAACATACAAAAGAAATTTACATACAAGTCATTTCTGTTTCCTTTGTATTGTTGCATGGAAAAAAAAAAAAAGGGTTTTCTTTTTTTGTTCATGTATCTAATCTTGCTTTTCTATATGACTCTGTGGAAGAGCAACAATGTGAAGTGGCAGTTCTGAGCTGCCATCTGAAGGGGAAAGCTAGTTAAATCTAACCAACAGGTCTTTCCTAGCAGCTGCTGGTGGTGACTTATTTGAATCACAGCCTTTTGCTCTCATTTGAAGCCAAAAGAATCTATTGATGGAATTAAGCACCAAAATACATTTTAAAAGTTTTCCTTTTTATAAAAAATAACAAAAGTTCATATCAGAAATTACAATCTATTTTTTCCTGACAATAACCAAATTAAGTCAACCTATCATACTTTAAAAGTTGGACTGAAATACTGGCTTTTGATTGGACCTCAAAAAACCAGTCTTGTTATAACATGTTATACCTCAC